CCCTCGCCGTCGTATCTACCCGCCAAAGCTGCTATCGCGTTGTCGAAAAAAATTAATAAGTTGTATCCTATGCATAACAAGCAAAGCAATTTAAAGTCGCATTTAAAAAAAAATACCAAAAATTATAAATTGGAAAAAACTTGCAAAATAAGAAAAATTTGTCTGGGAAGGTCGAATGGTGCTGTGTGACACAGAGTGCCGCGCCCAGCAGCCGTGTCGTAAATACGGAACGGGGAGGTGCCTGCCTGGCCCCGGCCTGGCCCGGCGCGGCGTGGGTCTTCTGGCGAGGATTTCCGGATCAGCTCTTCGCCTCCCTCCTTGTTCTCTCCTCCGCTACGTCTCCTATACTCGCCCTCTCGCCTCCGTGCCGTCTTTCTTTTTTCTTTTTCTTTTTTTTTTTTGTCCCTTTTCGATCATACTTCACAGAGATTGACGCGAGGTGGAGATGGGGGGGGGGGGGATGGAGGGACGCGGCTCGTCGCCACAGATTGGGCCCGTGATGTGATAGTTACAGCAGCAGCGGAGGGAAAACATGGGACGTCGGCGCATTGGGTTGGGGGGGGGGGGCCTAGACAAGAGGAGCGGGCGCCTTGGTCTTGGTCCTGCCCCTCCAACGGCGGGGTGGGCGGATGGGTACTCGCTTGTTTGGCCTCGCTAAGCCAATCGGAGAGGCAATAAGCCACGCAACACTAACAGAGAGACTCTCTGCTCCTCTCGGTCTGATTGAAATCTCCTAAGTCCGATAAATCCTCGGCCCGCTCGCCTCGCGCTCCCCGACCGCTGACGTTCCGTTGTTCGCCCCGTCCAATTACCATGTCCCAGTAGGCATGGCGGGAGCCGGGCGGGAGCGGGAGCACCGCCGGGGTCACAAAGCTCGACCGACCGCAGGCCAGGGAGCTGCTACTGCTGCCGCTGCTGCAACTGCCCCCCACCCCCCCACCCCTCCCCTTCCTCTTGGCCCAGCCGATGAAGATTCCAATTGAATTCTGCGCGCGCGGAGCTGCTGCTCGGGAAGGAGATGAGGGAGGGAGGGGGGCTTCCCCGCTGTTGCTGCTCCACACAGACCGACCGCACGCTGCGCGCGGAAAGGAAAGGGGAAGGAAGGAGCCTGTAACGAAAACCATGATCTGCGCGCATGGAGAGCAGATAGAATCTATTACGCCCTTCTTCTTCTTCTTCTTCTTCTTCTTCTTCTTCTTCTTCTTCTTCTTCTTCTTCTTCCGGTCCGTCTTCTCTCTCTCTCCCTCGCTCTCGGTGCGCGGGACGTGAGACAGACACGTCTTACGCCCGGCCGCGCTCTTCGCCCCGCCTTCCTCCTCTCGCCACTCAGCGCCACCGCCTCGTCACATGTGTGACGTGCAGCCGTATTCATACTGACGGAGAAGGGGACCGGGACCCCCGACCGCTGCTCCATTTTTATTTTCCTACACTGTTACAACCTGTAGTGTGTGCAAGGCAGTCACACTTCGCTAAGTAAAAGTGCAGCACAGCACGCCCATTGTCGGTTTTTTCGTGCGATTTGAAGTTGCACCGTGGAAACAATTTCAGTGACTTCCTACGAATGTTTTGAATTGTGCTGCATTGCCGGTATGTAGTTCATCCGAGTTCATCAGCCTTTCCATCACCCATTTCTGCGGTGGCTGCTGGCTCTCTCCCCGACACCTTCGCAAACAGCTTTGCAATCGATACGATACGAACCCGGAGGGGAGAGGGGGAGGCTCGGCGGCGGTACGTGGTTAACAGGCGACGGAGCCTTATTGGCCTCCCTGAGGGGGGTCATGAAGGAAGGGGAGGAGGAGGAGGAGGAAGAGGAAGAGCGACGACTTTGCGGGAGGCACTGACGAGTCTGCTCCGCACCGCGCGATATGATACACAGCAGAGTGCGGAGCCGGAGCGAGCGCGGCAATCAACAGTGTCAAACTGGGGCGCTGACTTTCCTGCCGCTCCGTCTATCCAACTCTCTATCTCTGTCTGCCCCGTCTCTCTTTGTCTCTCCCCGCCCCGTCTCTCTCTCTCTCTCTCCTTCTCTCTCTCTCTCTCTCTCTCTCTCTTTCTCTCGCTCTCTCTTTCTCTCGCTCTCTCTCTTTCTCTCTCTCTCTCGCTCTCTCTTTCCGCTCTCTCTTTCTCGTTCTCTCTTTCTCGCTCTCTCTTGTCCTGCTCCCTCTACTGTGTATGGGGAGGGGAATGGGTGGAGTGGGGGGTTCCCATCGCACCTCTCGCTCGGTAGGCTTGAAAATATTTGGTGAGGTGATCGGGTTGGGGTGGAAGTGGAAGGGGGAGGAGGAGGAAGGGAGTATGGGGGGCGTGTTGGCGAGGCTCTCCAACGGAACACGTTTACCCGGAGCATGGCCTGCTCGGAGGCGCGGAGGAGGTGGCGGTGGTGGTGCGGTGTGAAGGGAAAGGAGGGGAAAGCAATTTAGTGTTTGCTCGGCGAAGACGAGCCCAGGCCAGGCTGGAGGGCTCCGTGCAAACGATGCACACGTTGCAAGCGGCGGCGGGGCCGCTGCGGGCGAAGTGAAGGAGGCCGGGGGAGCGGCTGTTGTGGGTGGATCGAGGCGCTCGTGCGTGTGCGTGCGTGCGTGTGCGTGTTTGCGTTGTGTCCCGCGCACAAGGCCCTGACCCGCCCAGAAGGTTATGGCAACTCCTTGATACGTCTCGAAGGCAGGCGAGCGGGCGGGGCGCTACGCGGGACGCGCGGGACGTCGGGAGAGACGGAGCAAGGGTGCGTGTGTGTCTATGTGGTGGGAATAGGGCCCGGGGAAGCTATCAATGTCAGATCTGGTCTTCCTCTCGTGCACCCCTCTCCCCCTTCTTCCTCTGCCCCCCTCCTCACTCCACCAAATCTTCCTTTCCCACGCAGGTCCCAATCCCATGCCATACCCTCCTCTCCCCTCACCCTCACCCCCCTTACCCCATCTCTCTCGCTCGAGAAAGGGTTGTGGAGGGAGGGGGAGGTGGGGGAAGAGGGGTCACCCACACTACCCCCGCCTCCTTCCCTCCCGTCTCTCCCTCTCTGATCCAGCCACCACAAGCAAAGCCATCTTTATTGAATTTCTCAGATGTTGAAGGGACGCGCCACTACGCAGGGACTGACTGTTGGATATCTTTCTCTCTCTCTTTCTTTTTTCTTATTTCGCTCGCTCGCTTACGCAAGTGAAAGGGGAGAGGGACGGGACGCAAGAAGAGAAGAAACAAGTTCGCCATATGACAGCCCCGCTGCACGGAGAATAGCGATCGGACAATAACTAGATAAGCCGATACCAACTGGGGGAAGGAGGGGCAGTGCTTGAACGCGGGTAATGCCGAGTGAGACGGCTATTGCGTTCATCACAATTTATTTTACACGATTCACTTTTCTTTACTACGGTTGTTTCTGAAAGTGTTTTCTTTTACTTTATTGGTCGTCGCCGTGTCTTTTCCTCTGATCCGTTTCCCCCGGTTTTCTTTTTTTTCCTTTGTTTTGCTGTTGTTTTTTTGTGTGTCGGGCGCGCCGCTCCTTTCCGCTTCCCGGCGGTCTCCCGCCTGGGCGTGCCTTCGGCCGCAAATCTTTTCTAATCCCGCGGGGGATAGACAGTACGGCGCTGTACGGGCCGGGGAAGGGCACCAGGGAGGTGAGCGTCCTTGTGCAGCAGCCGCCAATGCCCTTCGTGAGATCTGCTTCGATTCCGATGATCAACATTTCAAAACAAAATAAAAAAGAACTTACACACACATTTTTGAAATTGATGTCACACTTTATAAAAGTGCAGCGAAACTGATTTGCATATAAATAGGAAGTTGTTATAGCACGCTGGAAGAGAGCTTACAGCCATCCAGTCCGATTTACCACATACTGATGCGCGGTGCTGCAAAGTGTGATCGTGTCCATCATACACGCGCGCCTCATATTAAACGAATCGAGTCTGGCTCGGGCCGCCAGCCACCGCCACGGCAGCGATATTGATTAAATCTCCTCTGGTCGAACAGTCGTAGTAGTGTTTGTGTGTTGTGTATAGTATACGCGCGGATTTGGCAGGGGGCACAATCATCTCGCTGACGTTCTCTTCCATTTCTTTCTTCTCTCTCTCTATGATTCGCTCTCCAGCGAACCCATTTTCTCATCCTCTGCACCCTCACCCTCTTGCTCTCCACACCAACATCTGCCGCTCATCGCGCCAGCGCTTGTGTGTGTGTATCTATTCTGAAAGGGTACGCGCGCGCGCGCGCGTGTGTGTGTGTGTGTGTGTGTGTGCGGCAGTGCGCATGCTCTCCAATCTGTCTTCCGTTGCCTCTGGCGCGTCGCGTCGACCTAGTTTTCATCAACGCTATTCACTGAGGGAGCCGGAAAATGAAAATGTCACTTGTCATATGTAAAAGTCTACTCCGGGGTGCCAGCCAGGGTCCTCTGCCCTGCCCCCTCCCCACCCTCATGGCCGGAAGTCCCCCTTCCCCCACCTTCCCTCTTTC